CCGATACCCCACCAGACCTTTCCTTTACAGGAGACCTTTAAAACATGGTATAAAAAGGAAGGTTTTAAAGTTTTAAAATGAGACCCAGTCTGCAGACCCCCCAGATGCGAGAGGGGACCGGTCTCCCTTGGTCCTGGGAACGGGCAAAAGGTCCCAGCTAGAGGAACCAGAGTACAAGAGTGTCCTTTAGATAATGTGGGGCGTTACCGTGGAAGGTAGGCAGAGAGATGATGTTAATCATCCAGATACAGATGGGAGGAACATGTTCACGTTTTCACCACCACCAGGATGCTGGCCGCACATTTCTTAGTGTGGAGGAAAAAAAACAAAGTCCGCCGTTCTGCATCAGAGAGGGAAAGTAAAGACAGCTTTGAATGTTTCAGGATTCAGTGAGCATTTCCACAGCAGTCATCTAAATTCTTCATGTCTTTCCTGATGAACGAGGCGTTCACTGATGTGGGTAAACGATGCTTTCATGTTTTTCAGATTTGCCAACTGCAGAGGAGCTGATGAAGCCCATCCGGCCAGAAAACCACCGAGCTCAGAGCTTCAACCTGCAGGCTGCCAGGTTAGGAGTTACACCTCAGATCAGCTCACAACTACTGTTATGGATCATAACCACAACAGTAGGGGGCAGTTTCATCAAACAAAGACATTGAATGTTGGTTTCCATGTGTTTGCAGATATGAAAGTGAACGTATGAGGATGTTTGAGTTTGTGTGTTGGAGAAAATCTTTGCCTTAGTTGTGTTTTTCTGACGGTGTAGGTACCAGACCTGCTCAGGGCCCCGCCCCTTCTTATGACGTCATCCTATGGCAACTCCACTCGGACAAACTCTATTGCACCCATTTCTTAAGGATCAAATCTCTTTTGGAGTCTCAACATATTATTACCTATATTTGCTATTATTTTACATTTTATCAGCGATCTAAAGTAGCCGTAAGTAGAAAATAATCATTGTCAGTCTGGAAGGAAAGTCCCGCGTTCTAAGACTGACTGAGCTCTGCCATTTAACACGGTGACACAAAAGTCTCAGCTTATTTTTATTCTTTTTATTCAGATCTGAGGGCAGAGGAGAACAAATGGAGCATAAAGAGCAGAGATTTTAGACAAATAAAACAGTTATTCTACTGGTAGAAAACGAACGGTTGTGGTTGACACAAAGTTAAAAGTAGTGTAGCTTAATACGGCTAACTGAGCGAGCTAAAAGAGGCTAACCTGTTAGCTACTGAGCACAGCTAGCCTCAGCGCTACCCAGCTCTTTATATCGTGGTCTAACAGTTACTTTGTTCACCAGAAACAGATTTTTTTCAGTTTTGTTTTCAATCAGGTAAAACTTCGTCAGTCATTAGAAGCGTGAACGCTAAAGATGCTCCTAACTAGGCACACTGACGCTGCGGGATGTTATCATCGTTGTCTGGGCAACCACAGCCAATGATGTAGCGTAAGGTCACTGACAGGAAGCAGGACCAGAGCAGATCTGCTTCCTGCAGCGGCAGCAATTAAAAACGCGGCGCTCTGCCTCTTCTTCTTCTAATAATTGAAAAACTGTTCAGGATGGGGAGGGAAGTTACCTGGTAAACCTGTATCAGCCATGTTACACAGTGGTACCATTCATACAGAGCCATGAATGTAGAGCTATGATAATAGAATCCCGGATCAGGATGATGAGGTTTCTGGTTATCAGTGGGAAGATGTGGAAGCAGCTCTTTAGCCATCAGTGATAAAACATCAGATTCTGGTTCTGAAGATCCGCCACTATCTGACCGCCTGCTTTCAGGGCAGCAGAGCTCCATCCTGACCTCAAGAAGACTTTCCTGGTTCAAACTCCTTCAAAGGAGCCAAGAAAGAGCGCTCCCACCGCAGGACTTAAAGGAGCAGCGAGGTCCTCCATCCACAGCAGGTCCAGGTCCCCAGAACCTCCCCACCCAAAGCTGGCCTTCAGGGAGGGAGAGCAAAGACAGAAAAAATCTTCTTCTCAATCTCTGCCTGAGGCTGGAAACACCAGGAACCAACGGGTGAGGAACGGTGACTCCACCTCCCTCTGCATGCTCCCCCCCTTCATACATCCTCTCCCCACAGACGTCCAGGAGCTCCTCCATGGTTCCTGAGAGGAAGACGGCCGCTGGAGTTAAGGCTGGGGGTGGGAGGGCAGCTGGAAGGAGCAGAGCCGCCCCCTCCAAGCCCCCGTCGGATGGTGGTGCTGCAGGTCTCTGTGGTTCCTGTCATGATCAGCTCCTCCAGCAGGAGGCTTCCGTTCCTTCCAGGCTGATTGTACTGTTTGGTCTGCAGAGGCGGGTCTGGAGGCGAGCGGCGAGCTGGTGGCGTCCGTTCAGTCCCTGTTGGCCGTCCTCCAGCAGCAGATCCACACCGGCAGCCATGAAGCTGCGCAGCAGGTCAGAGCCCCTCTTCAGGCCGCGGTAAGAAAACGACTAACAGTGGAACGGTCAGAGCTGGACGTGTTTGTTCAGTCAGTTTGGCTCTTACAGGCGGTTCAGGACAGTTCTGGCGCCGAGGCGCTAAGAGTCCAGCTGGCTCAGAAGGAGGAGGAGCTGCAGAGGATGAAGGATGAAGTACAGGAGATGAATCTGCTGAGACAGCAGAACTACCTGCTGCAGAGCAAGGTACAGCACACATGTAGAACCGCTTCCGTAGGACCTGACGGAGACCAGCAGTCCTCAGATTACCAGATGGGCTCTGCTTCCTCAGACCCCACTAAACAGAAGACCCTTTTTCCCAGTTCTGTGCAAAAAAAGCAAGGTACCACCAGGCATGACCATTTAAATCACTGCAGAGGAATCTATGAGAAGGATTGTTAGAATAATATACATCCTAGAGGAGAACTTACAGGATTAGGCCTCGGAGGAAAGAAGAGCAGCCGGATAAGATAAATGGAATCACAGAAAGATTTCAGTTCACCAGAGATGAGTTCAAATCTGCAGCCAATTAGATTTCAGTCCAATTTGATCGTCTTCAGGATAAGCAGAAGGGACCTAAAGCACCCAGAAACAATGATGGAGGCACATGTGCTCACAGTCAGATCGACTGACGCATCAGGTTATCCTTAGGGAGCCGCTGCCCCCTGGTGGAAGCACAGAAGCAGACCATCTGCAAGCATGAGCAGAGGCTTCAGGACCTTGGAGAGCTCAAACAGTGCAGTGGAAAGAAGGACCTTAATCTGCTACAGGAACAGCTTTCCCTCCCACAGGCAGGAGGAGCCTGATTCTGGCTGCAGGGCTTTGAATGCTAGTTAGCAGAAGCCTGACATTCATCCTGCTACATCAGAACATGCTGTCAGCTCCTTTGTTTTCTTTTCTCCTTGTCGAGTTAAATCAGTTCAGTTTAATTATATTAACCTCAGCACGTGTCATCTCAGGTCTCCCTACAGAGACAATTCAATCAGATCAAGAAGTCAGATTAAAAGTTCAAAGTTTTCTTTTCTATCTGAAGGAAACCTGCAGCCAGTCATTGACTTTACAGGATTCTGTCTTCCTGGATGAACAGGTAGTCAGAGGATATTCGATTGCATTGTCTTGTTATCTCTTCAGCAATCCCTCACACTGAGCATGCATGCAGCGACAGTGGGGGGAAAAAAGACCACCAGCAGAACCAGCAGCAGGCTCAGTGTGAGCAGCCTTCTGCTGAGGTCCACTTGGGATCAACTAGACAGAAGCAGACATACTAAACGGACATAGAAGCACTGATGATTTAATACTTTCTATGTTAAAAAAACATATTAAGCTAGCTCCACAGGTGGCTCTGTTTGGGAAAGAACAGTTTTCGTGTCAAAAGGATGAAAGATAGAATATCCAGTTAGCCACAGAAGAAGTTGATCCCATAGCTATGACTGGGAAACAGGACTAAACACTGAAAAACAGGCCAAGCTCCAACATCTAGAAACAAAGGTGTTGAGATTCTGCAGAGTGGGAGAATAGAGATAGAATGAAGCAGAATGATGAAAAAGGGGTCCCTATGTCCTCCAGCAGTCTAAGCCTATAGCAGCAGAACTATAGAGATAGATCAGGATAACCTGAGCCACTCCAGCTGATGAATAGCTAGTAAAAATCCATCTCTGTTTGGTGACGTCAGAGGATGAACGCTGTTGGGAGTAGCTCAACATTCTATAATAGACATGGATGTAAACACTGAGGATTGTTCCAGAACATCCAGTCTGGATTGGTTTGTATGGTTGAACCATCAGCCGGTTCTGTCTCAGGTAGTGATGTTGAGAAACATGGAGGTATCACACCTCCCAGATCAGAACCATCCAGAGCGGACCTCTAGCCTACAGTCAGACTCTGGACCTGAGGGCAGGCCGCAGCAGCCCCGGTAGAAAACACACGGCAGGGAAACATGGCTGCTATGGGTAGTATGCCTCCTCCACCACTGTTACAAGCAATCATCTACTATCTTCTTCAAGGTGCAGCTAAAAACTCCATCCATCCTTCACTGCCAGGGTTGTCAGGTCTGCCTGTTTCCAGCCCAACCCCTCAGTAAAATAAACAGCATGAAGTCCTCCCAACCTTCCGTTAAAACCATGAACATCAGATGATGTTCCAGATATTACGGTAACATGAAATGGAAGCTGTCTTAAAGCCATTTTTCCCTCTTTCATCCCTCAGCTGCGCCTTGCAGAGGAAGCCAGTCAGAAGAGGAAACGGGTGGAGCCTGCAGACCTCAGCTCTCAGGAGAAATGTCAGAAAATAGAGAAGGAGATCCAGGAGCAGGAGACGCTCCTCAGAGGTTACCAGCAGGTTGGTGTTCCTCTGAACATGTCCGGCCGTCGTAGAGCGGGCCTTCTAGAACATCCTTAGCTCTCAGGAATAAATGCCTGAGCACAGCCAGTCCCATCCGACAGAAAACCGTGACGGACGAGGTCGTGGTTTTCAGCGCTCATTGAAAGTCACCCGACACGATTTTAGGCAAGGCTGCATGGATCCTACAGAGAGAGAGCCCAGGTCTGTTTTAGTCAGACTATGCAGCAATTTCATGGGTCTGACAGGAAGAGAGACGCGTTAACCCTTCATACCCTCACAGAAACCAGAATAAGGAGGAGCAGACAGAGCAGGTCAGCGCAGCGTATCTCTCTCACCTCTTTATGGAAAAAAGAAAGAAAAAGTGTGATAAACTTCCCAGATCTCTCTGAGAATCACCTCTCTGTCTCAGTCACCATAGAAACCGTCCCACGCCGTTTATTGCTGCGTTTTTCTTTTCTCTAGACGTAGATCTAATTATGTTTTTAACAGAAGTAAATGAAATCTGCTCACCCTGCCTAGACAGAGCCTCTCTATACGCAGTCAGTGTGACATGGAAAGAAATCGTATCAGAGATAAAAAGTCAAACGCAGCCGGTGTGTTCAGGCCTTATCAGGTCTCAGGGAAACAAGCTGCTGCTGGGGATTCCCAGTGACAGCGCAGCGCCGGTATGTGGGGGTCTGAGCGGCTCCCACTGAGAAATAATCTTTGAAGGCAGGATGGTAATCTGGATGAACTGATGCGCTTCAGGAGCATCAAAGATGCAGCAGCAGGTGCCGTTTTGGTGCTAAAAGCGTGTGCGGTGTGGACGTAGCATAAGGGTTCTAGAGGGGCGATCAGTGGGAGTATTGGTTTCTGGTTCAGCTTAGGGTACCGTCTGTCTGGAAGCTGTGAATCTGAACGTGTTTTCAGGAGAACGAGAAGCTGTACCTCCAGATGAAGGCCCAGCAGGCCCAGAGCAAAGCCAACCAGGAGGCCATGTTTACGGAGAACCAGAGGCTGCTGAACGAGCTGGCTCACACAAGGTGGCCTTAGTTCATGGGAGCAGAATCCCCTCGCTCGTCCTTGGTGTCCGCTCACCATGTGTCTGACCTCCATCCCCATCAGGGAGCAGCTGAGGAACACCTGGAGGCCCGTGGATCAAACCAAACAGATCTCTGAGCTGCAGGCTGAGATCCGCCTCCTTCAGGTTGGTGACGCTGCAGCTGAGGTGGATCCAGCGGATCTCCTCCTACCATCTGTGTTTGTGTTTGCAGAAGAAGCAGGCAGAGCTGTCTGAGGAGAAGCGCTCTCTGGAGGTGGAGCTGCAGCTGCTGAGGAAGGAGCGAGACGAGGGAAGAGCAGGTGAGCTTTCCACTGTTGATGGTCAGCCTCCCTGCAGGTCTCTGCTGTCTCCATGGTGACTCTCCATGTGTGGCAGGAGAGAAGCTCTCTGAGGCGGAGGAGGTGGCGGCGCTGAAGAAGAAGCTGCAGTGGTTTGCTGAGAACCAGGAGCTGCTGGACAGAGACGCCCGGAGGCTGAAGGAGGCGACCGCTGAGATCCTCCGCCTCCGAGATCAGGTGGGGTTCCCTCTGAAACCGGAACCCACTGGGCTTCAGAGAGGGAAGCGGGTCGTTTACCGACGATCAGCAGCTGGTTTCTGTTACAGGTGGAGAAGCTGAAGCAGGAAACGGGCCAAGGAAGCAGGAAGCAGCAGAGGAAGATCAGAGACGGATCTGCAGACACGAGGAAAATGCAGGAGCTCCAGCGACAGGTTTGAGATCAGAGCGGTCAGTCAGTGCTCCTCCACAGGCCTTCATCACCTCGCTGTTCTTTCCTCCACCAGGTGAAGGAGCTGGAGCAGATCCTGAGGAGCAGGAACCCAAACTCTCTCCCAGCTCTGATTTATGCCGCAGCCACGGAGGACGGCGCCTCCGCCGGGACGCCGCCGCCCAGCCGGGTCAACGCGCTGCTGGAACGAAGAGTTCAGCGCCTGGAATCTGAGCTGGAGAGTCACGACGAGGAGGCCAAGCGCAGCCTGAGGGCCATGGAGCAGCAGTTCCACAGGATCAGGGTAACCAGCCTGGGTCTGTGCTCTGCCTGCCCGCCCTCTACCTTCCTGTTGGATGACTCTGTCTCTGCTCTGCAGCTGCGCTACGAGCAGCAGATCAGTGAGCTGGAGCAGCAGCTGCTGCAGACACGGCCGACCGAAGCAGCGGCACCTGCAGCGGAGCTGTGGACGTCCAGATGTCAGCTGCTGGAGGAGGAGCTGCGGCGGGAAAAGATCAGCCACCAGGAGAAAGAGGAGAGTCTGCAGGAGCAGATAGAAGCTCTGCAGCAGCAGCTCAGACCAAAGGTCAGCAGCTCATGGTTCGTTCACATCGACCAGGCCTGACGCCACCGCAGGTAGAGGCGCCTTCAGGAGCGAAGCAAAGCCTGCGGTGGAAATACAGCAAATTTCACTGCAGTTTGAAGATCTGAACCTTGAAATGGAGATGAAGATGCAAACTAAAAGTTCTAGCAGTCCGTCAGGAGAACCCTTAGATCAGTCATCATCTCCTCAGCTGCTCCTGTCCTGTGGGAGGAAGCTGGAGTACCCAGAGAGAAGCCACCCTGCAGAACGACCCCAGCCCAGGATCTTCTGGCCTCTGTGCTCCAAACTGCTCCACCATGACCCGTTAGCTTTGCTAAACTCCACCTGCTTCCAACCTTCATGGTTCTCCTGCTGATCCAACTGCATGTTTAGGATATTCTCTCTCAGAACAGAAAGATGGATGATGGATGGGTTAGGATATGTGGTCGCTAACCTAACTAACTCCTCCCATCCAGGTCCAGTCCAGCCCAGGCCGGCACCAGCGCCAAGCTGAGGCTGCGTTCGGCGCCAGGATAGAGCGACTGAACCGAGAGCTCGCCACCAAGAACCGAAGAATTCAGGAGCTGAACCGGACCGTGGAGAGGCTGAAGGGAGAGCGGCGAGGCGCGCCGTCCGCACCGCGCCGCTCTGCGGAGAGCGGACCATGCGCCGGGCCGACCGGACCTCAGCAACACGCAGCAGGAACCAACATGGAGGAAGAAACCTTCCCTGCTGCCCAGAACGAGAAGACTTACCAGCCCACCGCGTTCACAGGTCTGACCTAGGAGATGATGGAACATCAGTTAAACCAGTATACTGGGTTTCATTTCTCCATCTATCTGAACAGACTCTCCTCTGGGTCTCCATGGAGACGGCTCAGTAAAAATGGAGGATGGGTCTAAACTCTAAGCAGGATCAGGTCTGCAGTAATGTTTATTGGAGCAGTTTCTGCTCCGATAAACTGTAGAGAAGAACCAGCTGGTCTTGGTCATCCAAGGAAGCCGGTTCCATTAAGTTCAACCAATCAATGTCTTTATTGTCAACTACAATTTACAATTTAATCAAGATTTCAGTTTCAGTACAAACTGTTCATCACATACAGTGGGCTGGGGGGGCTGACAGGGGGAACTATTTACTGAGGCCATGTGAGCAGTTCTTCTGGGCCCTTCCACCATAACATCCAGGGGAGTTTTGATAAGGGGGGAGGGGGGGCGAATCCAGAGTGACACTTATTGTTTTGAGACCAGGCTGCTCAGGAATGTTCAGCCTTGACTCTTTTCTTGCTGGCTCTATGTGGCAAATCCATTATTCCAAACTTTTTGGGCTTTTCCGCCTTGAAGCGAGCGTGCTCATCCAAGATATTATCCCATCTCTCCTTTGAGTTCAACCGCTGCCGGCAGCCTGATCATCGCCCAAATTGCCGCCAACATCCTCTGTAATTGTAGATACATCAGGTTTCCTCCAAATCCAAACAGGAGAAATCAGAGTATCATACATCAGGAATCCATACATCTCCAATATCCTCCACTGAAAACATTGTGAAACACACCATCCTGTAAGCCTTCCAGGAGTCCATGGTGTGTCCCATGAAGTATGTCCCAGCAGGACAGGACGGCTCCCCTTTCCCCTGTTCTGCAGTTGAGAAAATTTGACTAATTGCATTGAGAGACCAGCTGACCAGATCCATTGTTTGAGTTCGGGTTAAATGAAGAGAGCTCAGAAAGACAAGACACAGCAAAGCAGGGACAGAGCAGGAACATGTGACCTTCATGAGTCAGAACAGACCCATCCATGATCCAAGTTCTGGACTTTACATCAGTCCTGTTCCTGTAGTCAGTCTGTCCAGTTAATGGCAGCAGTAGATCCACCAGCACCTTCATCTACTGGACCGAATCCAGCAGAGTAATGCTGATATCTATGGGTGTGACGTCGGTCCTACAGAACTTACCTGGTACCGCCCTGTTGGTTCCGTACTCTATTTTCTCTGGTCCCCTCCCTGATCTGACCAGTGATGACATGTTTAGCTAACCTGACAACAGCCAGATGCATGTCTCGCTCCGCCCAGCTCCACTCACATACATCTGGGAACCCGCCCATTGAAAGTGATTTCCCAACCGAATTTATGGTCTGTCCAATCAGGACGCAGGGTGGGTGTGTCCTGGAGTGGAGAAGCGACCGTGAGATTCCAACAACAATGGCGGCTCGCATTGAGGAAG